CTATTCTATTCTAAAAGGGCAATTGCAAATTGCCCTGGATAAGGACACAACTTGGCTTCTGTGGGATACCACAGCTTTGAATCAGCGTTCTGACAGGCAGTGTCCTGCTGGCATTTGGCCCCACAGCAGCCTTCTGTAGAGGCAGCAGCACCAGCCAAACTGGTGCAGGAGCATCAGGTGGCAGAGAGAGAAGAGGCTACCGGGGCGGGGGGGGGGGCACTGCCCTCTCTAGCCTCCGCCAGGTCCTCAACGGCAGAGAGACAGGCCTTTGGCTAGTCAGCTGGTCCCTTGCAAAGCCATTTGCTGACCTGAGGCTCAGCATGCTCTGAGTCATAAGGGAGGCAGAGAGGCTGCTCCTGGAAACAGACCCTGCCCGTGGAGAAGGAAGGAGACTTCCAACAGGAGCTGGGGATGGACTGGGAACCAGTCAGTTGACTTCCTAATCTCAGCTTCTCCAGCTGGGACTGCGTGTTGTCTTTTCCTTTGGTGCTCTGGCCTGACCTGGATCTTGCTCAGCTGGTGAGGAAGAAGACTGTGTGGGGTGGGGTGGGGTGAGACTGGCTGGAGGAGAACAAACCCTGAGCCCTGGTTGTGCCGGGTTAAAGTCCTAACTCAGAGGTCTCCAAACTTGGCAACTTTAAAACATGTGGACTTCAATTCCCAGAATTCTCCAGCCAGCACAACCCTCTTTTTCTCTCTGTTCTTGTCCCTTCGTGTGCGAATCTTTGAGAGCTCTATGAGGCTAAATCCATTTCGTTGCATATATATGTACAATGTCAATAAAGGTTATTATTAATTCCCAGAGGGAAAGTTTTCCTGGGCGCCCATCCGCACCCCAAATTGCCCCGGGTTCGCTCTAGAAAGGATGTGTGTGTGTGTGTGTGCAGCTGTTACTGTTGCAATTATATTCGAATTATTTGCGGGTAATCTACAGTTAGATTCACCGTCTAAGACTGGTGCGAACCTAGTCATTCAAATCCCAGCCAAGGACCTAAACTGCCCCCCGAGAACATAGGGCCCCTAATCCCAAACAGGGCGGTTTACTCTTTGTAAAATATTAGTCTTGCAAAATGATTTTGATAATTTCACTATTTCCAAAGAGCACGGAAATCCTTTAATGAGGGCTCAGAGGGCTTCCAGTCAAGATGAGTAAAACAACAGCTTTCTTTTTTTTTGTTATCGTTTTTCATGATTACTGGAAGTAATACTAAGTTAAGTCTTTTTACGCCCTATTGTAAACTGTTTCAACATTTGACATACATGAGAAAGTCGGAACCTACTGGCTGTGGCCGCTTGCTTCGAAGTGCCTGTGCCGGTTCTCAGTCATCCAGGTTACGGCTGTCCCAAATCCAAAAGAGAACTGGACTTTGCTTCCCCCCCCCCCCCCCCCTCCCCGAAGACGTTTCGCTTCTCACCCAAGAAGCTTCTTCCGTTCTGATCCCGCTTTCCTTGGGGCCGCTCCGGGACGCCCAACGATTCGAGAGCTCCTTTCTGTAGGGGTTTGAAGACAGGGGTTTTCTAAGACGGGCAGCTCATCCGATCGAGAAGACTTCGGGATGCTCTTTGTTTCGGGGTCTTTCGTGTCACACCTTGCGCCGTTTCGTCGCTGCTCTTCGGATCCTATTTTTATTATTATTATTATTATTATTATTATTATTATTATTATTATTATTATTATTATTATTATTATTATTATTCTGAGGGGAAGAAGAAAATAAAAAGACAGTTTCGGATGTTGAACAGGTCAGGAAGTTCACAGCCGATTCGGACCCGCCCGGCAGCCACTCGCTGGTCCTTTGGGATTGTTTTTATTTTTTAAATGAATTATTTTATTTTATTTTTATTTTTGCAAGGAAAAGACACTTCGGGCTGCTGAAAACGAAGGCGGGATCCGGCCAATGCAAAGAGCTTGCTGGATAGACAGGTGGCCGGGTATCCCGCCCTTGTTCCACGCTCACGCTCCGCCGAGGTTTCGCGGATTCTAGCCGCGGATTGTGTTTCTCTCTCCGCCCACGAAGCGGTCGAGAGGACCGCGAGGGCTCCTCCTGGACATTTCCGCTCAATGGAAGAGGAAGGACGCCTCAGCCTGGAAGGGGAACCGGTCTCATGAAGGGCGGAGGTGGGGGCCGATGTGCTTCCTCCTGCGCCGTCACTATTTCATCGACAACAGAGAGGGCGAATCGTGTAGGGTCTCCTACTTGGGGGCGAGGGGGGTTGGGCTAGATGACCTACAAGGCCCCTTCCAACTCTTAATCTGTAAATAAATAATCTGGCTCGTCCCGGGTTGAGAGAAAAGGAGGGAAGCTTCCTCTAACGCCCGGCCTTCACCAGGGCTTTAGAACCAGGCTCTGCACCGGGCCTTTTAAGCGTGCGCCCCCGGAGCAACAGGGAGCCAAGGCAGCCACCGCCAGGACTCGCGACTGCGGGACTTGGGCGCAGATGAGCGGGTGAGGAAAGTCCGTGCCTTCGCTCTTTCTTCCCGGAGCTGGGGAACCTTTTCATGGCCGGGTGGAGTGGTGGGTGGTGGGAGGCGTTCCGGGCTGCGGCTGGTTGAAACGGATGGTCAGAAATGGTGTAGGGGGGAAAAGGGTCTTCAAACTTGACAGCTTTTAAGACTTGTGGACTTCAACTCCCAGAATTCCCGAGCTAACGTGTCTGGAGGAGGAATTCTGGGAGCTGAAGTCCACCAGTCTTAAAAGCTGTCAAGTTTGAAAGACCCCTGAAATGCCATTTCTTTGTCAAAGGGCACAAGAAAGATCCAGCAAAAGTTACGGCAGGTTTAAAAACTTGAACAGAGGAAACGTTTTCAAGTCCCACTCAAACTGGGGCCAACAATGGGAAGATGCAGATTAAGCCAGAGAATAGGATCTTTGAAAGTCTCTCGCGTAAAAGGAGAAGTGTGTGTGTGTGTGGGGGGAATCCTTGCCCCTCCCTGCTAATCCACACTGGCTTTTAAAGCTTGTTGCTTCAAAGGAGAATGAGGCACAGAGAGCCTGGCGTTTCACATTCACTCCTGGCTTCGATATATCTTTGCCTTTATCACAAAATTCAAATTACTTTTGCTTCACTCTATTTCTTCCAGGAATCAAGGCTAATATCTTCCTACTATTCTGCCTGTCCTGTACAAATACTGTACAAAGGCAGGTAGATCAACTCCGCAAAGCATCCATACGAAGTCTTTTTGATTGGTTCATCAGGCATCCTGTCAACTCACATATATGACGAAGTTCTCCTTAATGTCCAATCCTTTGCATATCTGAATTGTGGTGTAGGAAGATAAGGTTTCAACCCCATGAGGACTGAAGCAGCCACATGGTAATGGGTTCAGGCAAGAGTGAGGGAGCCTCCCCCAACCCAACAAGGGTCAATTTAGTGATCAGTCAGGATTACAGATATGTGACCACATGACATGGACTACATTTCCCAGGGTACCTTAACTACATTTCCCATGAGGCCTTCCCTTAAGGGGACAACTCACAAATCCTAACTAACTATCCCAAATCCCATTAACTCTAAACTGTCTGGACAGCACACCTGGTGTAGGGTCTTCCTGCTTAGGCGGAGGGTTGGACTAGATGACCTACAAGGTCCTTTCCAACTCTGATTATCTGTAAATCTGGCCGGCTGGCCTCCCTTTCTTGAAAAAGAAAAGCGACCATTAGACAGACCTCTGTGACAAGAGAGCTGCTAATCCCGGGCGCTGGAAGCAGAGAGCGGCTTTGCAGGCAGAAAGGGCCGCCCAGGCTGGAGAGTAGCGCCTGTAGTTTTCCCAGCCCCCGTCCGAGGCCAAGGGGGGGGGCTACCCTGATAAAAGAAAGGGGAGCGTCTTGCTGTCCGGACGGAGCTTTTGGGTCTGCAGGGGGAAAACTGTGGCCTTGGGAGCGGCTGAGAAAACGAGAGACTCATCTTCGCCTTTCCTAATCGGGAGCGCGCACAGGGGTGGAGAAACCCGAGGTCCGGGCGGTTTCCCCTTGGATGTGACACGCGACCCGGCCCCACCCACCCCTGGCCCTGGCCTGTCAATCACTGCCAGCGGCCACCAATCAGAGGGCCGAAGCCAGCGAATTTTGGCAGGCGGCGATGGCTTCTCGGAGAAAAACCGCCTTGCAGCTCAGGGTGCCCCCGGCGATCTCCGGGAGCAGCCCGTGCCTCCGGGTTGGTCCGGGTGGCGGCTTGCTCCGACGGCTCCCCACTCCTGCAGGGCCCCCTCCGCCCCGCCCGATCGCCGCGCGATGTTGCCTTCCCAACACGTCGGGTGGCCTCGGTCCTGGCGTGGCGCCCGGGAAGCGGCGCGCCGGAGCGCGGCACAGGGTTGCCGGAGGAGGGCTGCCTAGCAGAGCCGCGCCAGCTGCCGAGGCCGCCCCAGCATGGAAGCCCTGGGGGGGCTGGAGCGGGAGACGGCGGGGTCCGCCCCGTCCCAGGCCCCCGAGCCCATTCGCTTCGGCATCGATCAGATTCTGGGTTGCCCTCCGCCGCAGAGCTGCGCGGGCGAAACGGGGCCCCTCGAGGGCCACGGCGGGGCAGCCGAGATGGTCCCCCAAAGCGGCGGCTACGAGGCGGACTACGGCCCCGCCTGCTCCCTCGGGGCTTACGCTCTCCCGGAGGCCTCGCCCGGCAACAGCGGCGTGATCCGAGTCCCCGCGCACCGCCCGATGCCCTCCGTGCGCCTCCATCCTCGGCCCGCGGGAGCCAGCCTCGCCTTCCCTTGGATGGAGCCCAGCAGGCGACTGACCAAGGAGCGGATGGCAGGTGAGCTGGAGCCCCCTCCAACTTCGGCCAAAGCCGCGGGGCGGCTCGGAGGTGGCTTCGACCTTACAGAAACGCTCGGCGAAATATGGGGCGCGGGTCCTAGCAGCTTTGGGGAGGAAGACGCAGGAACGACCCCCCCTCGCTTCGAACCCCGGCCCGGAGGATTTCCTGAGCGCAAAGGCTCGCCTTCGCTGGCCGCGGAGGGGCCGCGGAGGGGAGATGGCCACTAGACCAAGCCTTTTCATACAGCGCAGGGGTCCCCAAACTTGGCGACTTTGAGACTTGTGGACTTCAACTCCCAGAATTCTTCAGCCAGTAGATTAATTCCCCCTGGGAAGTCATAATAACCTTTATTGTCCTATGTATGTATGTATGTATATGTATGTGTGTGTGTGTGTGTGTGTATGTATGTATGTATGTATGTATGTATATGTAAGTACCACATACATTGGACAGACCAGCCACACACATTGGACAAACCAACAGGAGAATAAATGCACACATCCTAGAACACAAGAATGCAGTCAGAAAAGAAGAAAATTCTTCCTCCCTTTTCCAGCACCTTAACGCCACAGGACATGAAATTAATTTTGAGTGAACCAAATTAATCTCCAATACTGAACAATTCAACAAGAGAATAATCAGGGAAGCCATCGAAATAGAGAAACACCCCCATACCATGAATAAATGGGACGATACCTCCCGCCTACCAGACATCTGGAAACTAGCCCTTATCAACAAACAAGTCCCGGCCACGAAAAACAACACATGACACCACCACCATTCTCCCTCACCAGACTCAAACCCAAACCCACCCCATAGACGAAAGGCAACCACCGTCCAGAAATAAGACCACGGCTGCATCACCAGCTGCCACACCCCCTGACCCCCAAACCAAGCAAACGGACACACGCCATGAAGGCCTCAAACTCGGAGCCAAACCAAAACCCAGAACGTCACATCACAGCCACCTGCTCAGGATATCACATCACGGAACTCAGGAGGTTACACCAACAAAACCTCAGGATGTTGCAACACAGCCAATGGCCCAGGAGATAACAACACAAGACCCAGGATGTCAGAACAATAAAACTCAGAAGGTCATCACACACCCCTTGACCCAGGTCATTACAACCCAGGAGATTACAGCACAAGACTCAGGATGTCAAAACAATAGAACTCAGAAGGTGATCACACAGCCCATGACCCAAGTTCTTACAACACAGGAGGCTGATAGACACACATCCAGTACCTCAGCCACACATGTTCTTATGAAAAAGCCAGCCAATCTGCAAACATCAACTCCATCAACCAATCAAGAAATGACAACACAGCCAACCTCCCCACCAGTATATATAGGGAGACGGCAGCTCCGATCACGCTTTGTTCCCACAAGCAGGAAGCCAAAGCACCAGCCTGAAGATGGCGAGTGGGATCTCATCGAAACATTGCCAACATGCTCTCAATCTTACATGGGAAAAGACCTGAACTTGCCAAGACCTGCATGTGTACCTACACACACACACACACACACACACACACACACACACACACAGAAATGGATTAGCCCCAGTTTCCTTCATGCAACTCGCAAAGATTCACACATGAAGGGGCGAGAACGGAGAGGCTGGTTTCAGTAGCAGCGATCAAGGCCACAGCCCTGCCCTCGGGTCCAGGCTGCTCCGAAGGGATGCACAGGAGAGAATTAGCCGCCCCCGCCCAAAGAACCCGGTAGCTATGCTGGCTGGAGAGTTGAAGTCCACGAGTCTTAAAGTTGGCAAGTTTGGAGGCCTCTGATACAGAGAACCAGGAATCCCCCCCCCCCTCTGAAGTTGCCCTAGAAAGAAACCAGTTTGGGGCGGGGGCGGGAAGAGGGGACCTGGTCATCAGGGAGCGACCCCCAAAGGAAGCTGCTTTTGAGACTTGGGAAGAACAGGACAGAGAGTCAGAGTTGGAAGGGACCTTGTAGGTCATCTAGTCCAGCCCCACCCCGCCCCGCCCAAGCAGGAGACCCTACACCATTTCTGACAAATGGCAGTCCAGCCTCTCCTCTTAAAGTCTCAAGTGATCCGTTTCATTTCATTTTATTCTTTATTTTCCATTTGCAAACGGGCATGGTGAATCCGAAGCCCGAGAAACGAGGTGCTGGACCTTCAACTAGTTTTTGCTTAGCGGACTTGCATGGTGGTGGTGGTGGTGGGGGGCGGGCGCTGGGCTCCTGTCTGCGACAGAAAAGTAGGGTTCATGGACACCCCTGCCTAAAGAGCCTCAAGCGCCACCAATCTAGGGAGCGAAGCGGCAAGTCGCGCAGCTGAACCGCTGGATCGAGCGCAAGGCCGGCCGCCGAGATCGCTCTGACCGGCCCCTTCGGTAGGGAGACAACCCACCCGTCTCTCGTTCTCGTGGGGGGGGGGGGGGGGGTGCGGGGGGGGGGGGCGTCCGGGGGAGGTCTCGGTTGCAACCGACGGTCTGCTTCGGCGCTCCCGAATCTCAGGATCTCCGCTTTCTTGGTCTGCCCGTAGCCGCGTTGCCGCCCTTCTCCGTGACCAGGCGGGTCGGCCACCCGTATCAGAATCGCACGCCGCCCAAGCGCAAGAAGCCGCGCACGTCCTTCTCCCGAGCGCAGATCTGCGAATTGGAGAAGCGGTTCCATCGGCAGAAATATTTGGCGTCCGCAGAGCGAACCGCCCTGGCCAAAGCGCTTAAGATGACCGACGGCCAGGTCAAGACGTGGTTCCAGAACCGTCGCACAAAGTGGAGGTACCGGGGCGAGGGAAGGGGGTGCGCGGAAGGAACCGGGGGGGTGGCTGGGCTGGGCTGCGCTGCGCTGCTTAGAGCGATTCTTTTCCAGCGACCATGCCAGGAGTTTGGAAAGGGAAGCGCCGATGCTCCACGCACCGGGATGGGTTTGGGATAGGAGGGAGCTCTCCTCCTCCTCCTCCTCCTCCTCCTCTTCTTCTTCCTCTTCCTCTTCCTCTTCCTCTTCTTCTTCTACTTCTACTTCTTCCTTTCCTCCTCCTCCTCCTCCTCTTCTTCCTCCTCCTCCTCCTCCTCCTCCTCCTTCTCTTCTTTAAATATTATTATTAAACATTTTCCCTCAATTTTCATTCTTTGCAACAAATTTGGTATAGATAGACATTCATTTTACATACATTACACACACAGTTCCACTATAATGCATATCACATGTATTTTGTTATTATCATACTACTATAATATTTCATATTCTCCCTTCTGCTCATGCTCAGTGTTCCCTTCCCCTTACCGCTTCCAAACGAGCCAACTACTGCGTCGGCTCATCGGTGCTTTCAGGTGCTGACCGCAGTCCCGGTCTCTCCAACAGGCGACAGACGGCGGAGGACCGCGAGGCGGAGCGCCAGCAGGCCAGCCGGTTAATGCTGCACCTCCAGCCCGACGCCTTCCCGAAGAGCCTGGGGCAGCCGCTGCAGCAGGACCCTCTCTGTTTGCACAATGCCTCGCTCTTTGCCCTGCAGAACCTGCAGCCCTGGGCCGAGAACCACGAGGTGACTTCAGTCTCGGGAGCCGCCACCCTGGTGTGAGCAGAACCATGCACAGAGGTGGGTGGGGGCGGTTGCTCCTTCACGGGCTGGCAGCAGCAGAGGCGTCCTGCAACATCCCTCGGAGCCGAATGGATTCATCAGGGCGTCTCTCGAGCCCTCCGCCCGGACTGCAGGTGGCCAGGTTACGGGACGGCTGGCCTGGCCTTGGGTGCTTGCAGACCTCACCCGTAGGAAACGTGGGGCTTGGAGGCTGCATGTCCTTCCCCCCGGAACGGATAGTCCAGGAAGTGGGAACCCAACGCAAAGCAGGTGGTGAAGGGACGGTCGCCTGGTATTCTTCTTTGGATCAGCGCTAGCTTGCCAAAGGACTGTGCGGGAGGCAAAGGCGAGCTCTGGCCCACCACCGCCGTGGAGTTGTTTGAAACCCTATCCCTCCTACAGTCCACCGCCAACCCCTTTGCTCGCACTTGCTTTCCTGCTGCTTGGCTAGATTCGGCCTAGGGGGCTGCAGGGCTCCGTGGCAGCGAATATTGCAGAGGATGAGGGGCTTGTGCTGTAGACCAGGGGTCTCCAACCTTGGCAACTTTAAGTCTGCCCATAAAGTGCATGCAATGAATGCAAACATTGATTGGTTCATCAGGTATCCTCATAACTCACGTTTGTGATGAAGTTCTTCTGTAATGACCAATCCTTTGTATATCTGCCTTGTAGGTAAAAGATGGTTATCTCCTAATCCATCTCGTAGCGATAGAAAGAAGCTGCCATGAATTTGTGAATTCAGGCAAGAATGAGGAAAACCTCCCCCACTCCCTCGAGGGTCAATTTAGTGACCAATCAGGATTACAGATGTGGTCACGTGATATGGACTACATTCCCAGGATGCCTTAACTACATTTACCATGATGCATTCCCTTAAGGGGGACAGCTCCCAATTGCTACCTAACTATCCAATTCCCATACACTGGCTGGACAGCACACCATCACTGCTGCTTTATTTATTAAGCCACACCAGTATGGTTTGCTGGTCTCTCAGGATGGACAGGATCACTTGGCCTTCCTTTTCAAGATGTTGTCATTCAAGGTTAGCTTTTCCCGTGGTGTAAAGATATTTTGTTGGTTGTTTCACCCAAAAGAAGAAGAAAAAAAGGTTAGGGTTAAGAATTGCTCCTCCATTGCTGCTTCCAGATGATTGGCCAGGAGGATGAGATCTTGGAGCACCGCCTCGTTCATTCATGCCACTCTCCTCTGGTTGTCTTGTGGCAGAAGAACAGGAGCGCAGGGAGCTGGTGGTGCCCTTCTGGGCAGTCCCACCATACTGTGCAGAGACAGGCCTGCCCTTCTAGGATGCTCAGGCACCGTTTTCAACCAGGAGACTGTTGTGGAGTCAGCCTTTGTATTGGATCACTGGGTTCCCCCCTCTACCACAACCACAGACCCCAAACAAGAGAAAAGCCAAGATTTTTACAGAATCCGGAAGGACTACAAAGTGGGAAATCCTAGACTGGCTGACTAGTCTGGGGAAACTGGACAGGTCCTGGCCAGGGACCTGAGTGAGGTCTGTGGTTGGGCAAAGTGGGAGGGGGGGGCTTGGGAGGGCAGCCGAGTTGGGAAGCCCCCTGTGAAAGAATGTTGAGGTCATCAGCTGATGGAAGAGGGAAGGTTGGGGCTTCTGTGGGCTGCTCTCTCTCTCTCTCTCTCTCTCTCTCTCTCTCTCTAGCTCAGTTTGGCTCTGATAGGATTAAGCCCAGAGGGGTGGCCTGGCCTTGAACCCAGGGTGGGATTCAAATTTTATAACAACAGTTCTGTGGGCGTGGCTAGGTGAGCATGTGACTGGATGGGCGTGGCTTTTGGGGGGGCAGCACCCCCTTCCTGTTTTTTGGACCTTCTGGGCCTCAGGGAAGCCTCTGGGGGGGGGGCTTTCTGCTCCCAGGAAGCTTCCCTGGGGCCCAGAAAGGCAAAAAAATTGAGGGGTAGTGCAGCACCACCACCCCTGTCCCCCAACCCTCAGGGAAGCCTCCTGGGCGAAGCAGTAAGTAAGTGAAGGGAATCCCAGAACAGCTGATCATAGGAGCAGCTGATCATCGGGAGGGGAAAAAACCTTTGAAGAGTGACTGGGCGGGGAAGAATGCAGTCGGCAATGTCGGGCCTGCATGCAATGTTGCCCATGCATGATAAGGATTGACTGGGAGGGGAGGGGCAGGTGCAGAGAGGTGGGGCCAGCCAGGGCCATGATTCACCAGTTCCCTGAACAGTGCAGAATTTTAACAACCGGTTCTAAAGAACCGGTCTGAACCAGTAGAATCCCACCCCTGCTTGAATCTGTTGGGGGCAGTTTGTTAGGTTTTTCTCCACCGCAAAGGGCAGAGTGGAAAACAGCGGGGGGGGAGGGGTTGGGGTCAATACAAGTCCCCCTTTTCATCAGGAGTTGAGAAGGATTAGCTCCCCCTGTTCCTTGTGGTTCTGGCGTGCCTTGCAGGGTCTGGTGTAAATGTTTGTGCCTGCTGGAAAGGACTGTCCCAGCCAGTCTATGGGAATTGGATAGTTACTTAGGAATTATGAGCTGTCCCCTTAAGGGAATGCATCATGATAAATGTAGTTAAAGGTATCCTGGGAAATGTAGTTCATATCATGTGACCACATCTGTAATCCCGATTGGTCACTAATTGGACCCTTGATGGGTTGGGGGAGTTTTCCTCACTTTTGCCTGAACTCTCTAACTCATGGCAACTGCTTTCTGTCGCTACAAGATGGGTTAGGAGATAACCATCTTTTACTACAAGGCAGATATGCAAAGGATTGGTCATTAAAGAAGAACTTCATCACAAATGTGAGTTATAAGGATACTTGATGAATCAATAAATGAACTTTGTTATGGACGTCTTGTTGAGTTTATCTATCTGCATCTGCACAGCTTAAAAATCCACTACTGTGTAGAAGACAGAAAAGTAAAAGATGATCTCCTGAAGCCCATCAATATAAAGACAGTTAATTTGGATTTCTGATAAAGCAAAGTAATATTGAAGCCAAGAGTGAATATGCATCGTCTCTCTCTCTCTCTCTCTCACCCACCCCCCTTGTCTCTGCTCAATTTGTCTTTCTGCTATCTCAAAGACTCCTTGTTATGCAAATATTTCAGATATTTCCCAGCTCTCAAAGGAAAATCAAACCTCTGTCTTTAAACCTTCTACAAATGCAGTGAGAGACTCTGAGAAATCATGCCTGTATGCTTGTCAGTAAAACAAAGGCTGATCTTCCTCTGCTCATCTGGAAGGCGGGCAAAGCCATAAAGAGGCCAGGATTATAAAAATTCCTCCAGCCAGAGCCGTCTCCAGAGCAATGGGCACATTCCTTCCCCCTGAAGAGAGACACTTAATCTAGAAATTTTTAAATTTAAACAAAGTCAGCATCTTGCCTTTTGCTATCCCGCTGAAGTCAATAAGGATTTTTCCTTTAACAAAATTAATAGCAATCTAAAAAGAACCATGATGGAGCATTTTAGTTGTGTTTTCAATTGCCATTCAACTGCTAGACTACCACCATCTGGTGGTCAAAAAATAATAATTCTTATATGATTTTTTTTCAAAGTCTCTCAAGATTGACCAGAGTGTTTCTCCTATGATAACCCCTTTTTGCAACTCTTGTGGACAATTTAATCAATTTAATTTAAATGTTCCAAGATTAATTGCAACCTATCCAATGACAATCCCTTTTTTCAACTCTTGTGGACAATTTAATCAATGAATTCAAGGTTCCAGGATTCATTGCAGCCCAGCATGTGCATAGCAACAGCATCTGCCAGACACTCTAGTGCCCTCTTGTGGAGCAAGCCACACTAGCAGGCGAATTTCTGCATTTAGCCCTCAAGTCTCTAGACTTTGCAACACAACCTCTAGTGCCCCCTTGTGTTGCAAGCTCACAACGCACCCTAGAAACAGTCATACTGTGTGCTGTACTAGCATCGCCCAGACTCTGCAGCGCCACCTATTTGCTCAAGTACTAAATTCAGCAGAAATCCTACTTTCCTCTACCTGTGCATAGCACCCCCTAGTACCAAAAAAAGGAATTACACAGAAAACCACTAAATTTTCCAAAATTATCCCTTTGCCAATTTGAAGCATGGCAGCTTCCTCAGCCATGACAGATGTCTCTGATGTACCAGAAGACCCGAATCCTCCACCCACCCTTGTCATAAACATGGAACCTGGTTCCCAACAACCACCTTTAGATGTCCAACCCTCTGGAGAAGCCGCAATACCTAGGAAGACCTACGACCTCAGACAACATAGGAAGCTTATCTCACCCTCAGTGATACGCTTCAGAGAGGATTGTGAAAGGCAATTTCTCCATCATGCAAACGCATGGACGGAGCTGGTCAAGATCCGTGACACCCCCAAAACCAAGTTGCCCCTCAAGAGCCTCTTCCTAATGCAGAAGGAGTTTGAGGAGCACGGTGGAAAGACAGTGAAAGTAAGCTCAAGTATATACAGTCGAACCTGGAAGACACAGAGCTCCAAGAACACATTCAACGCTTCGAGGAGTCGAACAAAAGAACGTGAAGACTGCATCCAGGATGAGAAACACTCCCTCCAGGCCATCTTCCTTGATGCGCTGCAGGAGGAGCAAATACGGAGGGAGAAGTCCACCTCCAACATAGGTCTTCAATCACAAGCAGCTTCTTCCCACCCTTCTAAGAAAGCCTCCTCCTTCCATCCCAAATTGGCTAGACTGCAGGCAGTTTCCAGTGTCTCGCGTCACAGAGGAGATAGCATGGCAGAAGGCAGCAGTAGCGGTTCATCAAGCAGAAATGGCCAAAGCCCAGGCGAACCAACAGGCAGATTTGGCTAGAGTTCAAGCCCAATTGGAGTTGGCCGAATGGCAAAGAGATGCCGCAACAAAGATGGCACCGGCCACAGCATGGCAAAAGATGGCCGACAACACCTCCCTCCAATTCAACCTCGAACAGTTGGGAGAAGAGAGCCCAGATACACGGGTCAAGGGCTACGTGGATGAGCAGCACTCGCTACAAAATGAGCAGATGG